TTATGGTTCAAATAATGCCCAGAGGTATGTGGCAGGAAGGTGAAGTTAAAAAAGTATTAAATGACAGAGCTTACCAGGTTGATGTAAATGGAAAGTGTTATATAAGAAATAGGAGATTTATTAAACCATATAAAGATTTCAAAAGTAAGAAACATTCTAATAATCAGTCACATACAAATAATTTTTCAAATAATAATAATAATAATACAGTTTTTGGTCAAAATCTAAGTGAATACTGTTTTCTAAATTTAAATAATACAAGTACTTTACAAAATAATCAAGACTTAGATCATTCGAATGTTGTTACAATTGAAAATAATGAAAATAATAGCGACAGTGTGAAAGCTAATAGTAGTAGTAGTAGTAGTGACGAATCTTTTGAGAATTGTTTAGATTATAAAAATGTTGTAAAGAATTATGACCAATTTGAATTTGAATTTCAAAGTTCTAATAGTAGCTATAGTAATTCAACGGACCCGAGTATAGTTAATGAAAATTATGTAAATAGATATGGAAGATCAATAAAAAAACCATCAAAATTCGATGATTAAATATGTTTGTAACTGAGATTCAGTAGGTCAAAGATGATGATATTACGTAAGTACCCTTATTACATAATAAGAGTAATAAATTAAATTAAAAAAAAAAAAAAAAAAAGGAAGGCAAGAGCTGATAATGAAAGGGTTTATAAATAACTAATAGCTTGTGTGTATAAACTTTGTAATTGTTTTGTTATACAGGTATTAAAGTTATGTTATACAAATAATAAAGTTATGTTATACAGGTATTAAAGTTATGTTATACAAATAATTAAGTTATATCACAAAACTATGTTCTATATGTAGTAAAGATGTTAGACATTTATTAAATGTTTGTGGTACAAGATTGTATATACTTATTTAGTTTTAGTTTAGTTTTGTCTGTGATATTAGTATAACTGTAATATAATATGTTATATCTGAAAAGGGGAGATGTAACGGAACGTACCCTTGTCAGATGTCAAGTCATACACATGACTAATAAACTATTGTTCAACCAACTGTCGTATCATTAACACACACACCACCTCGCCCTTCATCCAAAAACATGGTCAAATTGGGCTAAGCCATTTTACATTCGTCTGCATAGGGAGCGATGTTGCAATTTTTCAATTTTTAGTGTCTATTCCGTCTGTTCAGATGGCAGCATCTTATGGGCCCTACATTTTTAAATCTTATCACAAGAATCCTGAAATAATTAGGCAAAAATAAAAGAATGTATGTTGCGTTTTAACTTCTAAATACTATAAAAAATGATGGAAAGTCCATAACTTTTAAATATTTGTTAAATATCACTCATTAAAATATTATGCATTAAAAGTAAAACAAACCATAGACTTTCCATCATTTTTTACAGTTTTTTGAACCCATTTATGAAAACAGTTTTTGAAAATATTATCGTTCAGAGCTGTATTTCTTGTGATAAAAAAGTCGCCGTCACTTGTCATTGAACTTGGCCTTAACGAAGAGTCTTTGATTAGTGCATAGTCTTAACCAATGAGGATTGAGAATACCAAAGATGGTATCACTGAATATGAGATAATAGGTTCTTTCGTTCGTCCCACTGGTGTAGGAATGAACTACACCAACGTACACTAAACCTTTCGTTCGGCCCGGTGTAAAATCCACTAAACCTTCCTGTCGGCGATGTGGTGTCCACTGGTGGATATTTTCTCCACCAACTATTTAGCAGGAGTGAATTACACTCGAAATGTGTATAAGGAATAAGGAGGGAAGTAAACTAAGGTAAATAAGGTGGTGTAACTGGTGTAATTTACACTGGTGGACACTGCACCAACAGCGAACGAAAGAACCTATAGGTTCTTTCGTTCGCTATTGGTGTAGTGTCCACCAGTGTAAATTACACCAGTTACACCACCTTATTTACCCTAATTTACTTCCTCCTTATTCCTTATACACATCGTCGAGTGTAATTCACTCCTGCTAAATAGCTGGTGGAGAAAATATCCACCAGTGTACACCACATCGCCGACAGGAAGGTATAGTGGGTTTTACACCGGACCAAACGAAAGGTATGGGTGTGGGTTGGTGTAGTTCATTACTACACCCAACTACACCAGTGGGACGAACGAAAGAACCTAATGGAACGATATTTTCAGAAGTGGTGTAGCTCAGTGCTACACTTTCGATGCAAAGGAAAAGACCTTATTTATACAAATTGTATGGATGGAACAATATTTTCAGAAGTGACGTAGCTCAGTGCTACACTCTCGATGCAAAGGAAAAGACCTTATATTTACATGCTTCGGTAGAACAGAAGTAAAAGTTGGAAATGCTTTTGCCAGTTCTCCCACTTAATACACATAAATTGACAGGTTGGCAGCGGATCTCACCGAAGTGGACGCGATACATTGGCGTACAAAATAATTTTATAGATGTTAATAACAATTTCGAGTAAATAGTTTAATAAATTGTGAATAGCTGTTGAAATTTTGTAAAATTATGATTTGAATATTATAATACATGTTTAATAATTATTTATAATCCATAAATACATGCAATTGTCCGGTTTCGCTGATAACAATTTAAAATTACTTATTCTATGAAACGACACTGGCAGGTAAACATTAGGGAGTTTTAGCAAACAGCCGCTAACCATCCGCTAACGTTACCTTAGGGATAGACTGTAATCTACTCCGTTCAATCTTTATGAAAAAGGTCACAATCTAAGTTTAACGTAACGTTAGCGGAAATCTTACGTACATTTGCTAAAACTCTCTATTACTGCGAAATTCTCGGAGCCGCCCGACGTGGTTTGACGTTTACCCCCTCTCTACCTACCAAAAGACTTTTCAACTTTTACTTTCTCTATAATAAATGCGTCATCAGAATAACCAAACCTTAATGAGAGCATAACTTAAGTATGTTCTAGTAAATTATGGTAAGCTTATAAAGAAATGCCTAAAGATCCTTATTTGCGAAGTCGAATAGAGATATGTAGCATCAGGCAACTTCAGTTCATAAATTATACCAGGTCTTCAACAATACCCGAAACCCACGTGATCTGATAACCATCAAAAACCCATCGAAAGGGCCTGATTTGACGTAAAAGGAACTAAACTGAACTGTCAATCCTGTCAGAAATGTCACTGGCGTTCATTTGGGGACTGACAATATTTATATTATATTTGTTTACATTTTATAAACACCCTTAGTCCATTTTTCATTTAATATTAATAAAGCAATTAGTTATTTTTAGAGAATATTGGTGGCTTAATTCTTTTTTGTTGGTAAGTACAAATTTATTTACTGTAACTCGTAAAAGTTAATGACTATATAATTTATTTTAGGTAATGTTATACTGGAACAAAATTATTTTATATTCGTAATTGTATTCGAAAATTTGAGGAACGTTTTCCAGGTGAATAAATGGAATGTGATTCTTTTTTGTCGTCATAAACAAATACTTGTTCAAAAAAAGGAAAAAGGTCTAAAATGCCCAAAGTAATAACAAAAGCTGTTGAAGATGTGCAAATTAACATGGTGTTAATTCCCAATAAATTAGTAAAAAAAACAGCACCTCAAACAGGTATGAAAGATGTTTTAAAGACTGACTCTGGCGAGTGAAATTCAAAACATATTTTTTTTTAGGTTTATCACTATGAACTAGCCATAAAGTTAAAAAAAAATCTGATAATGCATCCCCTATAAAGTTTCGATACTGCAACAATCATTTTACCTTAATTTTGTTAAACCTACATATGGAATATTACAGATCGCTCAATTCAAAATCGTTTGTGACTTATGAATTTGAGCACCTATATTGAATGATATACAAAATATAACTGAAGAGAAACTGCATAATGTGTTCAAAAAAGAACGTTTAATGCTTGCATTAAAGCTGGTGATTAAGATTTTGAACAGATAGGTACTGTGAATTAGTATAAATTAGTTTGTGCACCACCGATTACTACTCAATATCCTTTTAAATAAAATAGTTGTTAATAGATATGCCTTTATAATTTAAAGTGAGAAGTAAGAGCTGTAAGGTAAAACAAATATGTGCTTGTTACATTAATAATATTAATATTTTTTTGTATGCATATAAATAACAATGTATTTTGTAAATGGTTTAAACTCTGTAACAAATAAATAATAGAACAAACTTAAATTATGTGTTTATTACTTCCCATTGTCCAGGTTCAATTCCAGTAAGTTTTAAATTTGTTTACTTAAACTGCAATAATTGCCAAATACTGCCATTGTCTTCTGCCTATCGTATTTAGAGTTTCAGCTGTAGCTAAATTATCTTAGGACCGATTCCACCGTTGTGTTAAACGAAGTTTAAAATGACATTTTTACATTAACAATGTCATTTTAATCTCGGTGGAATCGGCCCTTAAAGAGTCAATCTAAAGTAAATAATTTTTAATTTTATTCATATTTTAATGCATAACATTTTTATCCATAACTTTTTTGTGCCCTGTTCTAGTAAAGGTTTTTTTTGTAGTAGTGACAATAACTAGTACGAACCATATTTCAGTTTATTATTCTTTTCGTTAAATACAAACTAGAGCTCAGTTTTTAAGGTTATGTTATTTATATCATAATTTTAAAAATTAGATTATTGAATTTGATTAAATCTAATTAAAATATCGAATTCTAACATTAAAATACAATAATGTAAAGCACCTCTAATTAATATTATGATTTTGTGTTGTAATTTTAACAGTTACCTAACTGAATTTTGTTCTCGTAGTTGCAGACCATAAAAAAAGAAGATCTACGGCACTGGCTCAAATTTAGGGATTTTTACTTTTATTTTCACCAATCGCTGTCATGACGATTTGGTCACGTGGGTTTTCGGTATTGTTGAAGACCCAGTATGATTCGTATTCAGTGCATACCAATGGAAAACGCTTTTAAGTATACCATACTGGTTTATTGAGACAAAGCGAAAATTGCCTAAACAGTGTTACACACACCAAAATAAAAAGTTACCATATTTGTCGTACTGGTGTCAAATGTCAACTGTCAAAAATATACCTTTTCCAAAATATTAGATTTTCTGGTGTTATGGAAGTTATTTCAGCATTTTACACATATTACAAATTAATTCTACTATCGTAGAAACATTTTTATATCAATACTTTATTTTTAATAATATTGTTTCTTACAATTTGCATAGTCCCTATTAAACAAACATGGCGGTCTCGGACACTGGAAATGAATTAAAATTATTAAAAAAGACAAAAATCTCAGTGTTCGTTGATGAAGTTCTGCCTGATATCTTAGTGGTTACTTATGAATTCGGTGTACAAATTTTCAAAGGGGTTTTGCTTGACTCTACAAAAAGGTGAGCCATATATTGTGTTCATCAGATTAGAACAAGAGACCCTTTGTCTCATCCATCAATTAATATAAAAAATAGTCATGTCTTGTAGTAATGTTCCCTCATTGAAAACTAGCAGTTCATGTTTTTTATATTCACATAATTTGCTATAATCCTTATATAATATGTATGAATATGGGCACCATCCATAAGGAAGTAAGAAACTTACAAATCTAGACACAGATTTTTATAAAATATTTTTAATAGATTTTTAATGCCAATTATTTTGTATTCCAAAATAAATGAAACACCTATTACATCAGTTAAATTATTAAGTTCTACCTATATCTAGAAAAATATGAGATTTTATAAATATCCATACCAATATATAAAATAAATCAATAAAACCAATGCTGATACAATAAAATAATTTTTTTACACTTGTTTTAGAAACCTTCCTTTAGGAGTTCAAACTATAAATCCAGCATTTAGTGTGAAATCAAAAAAACCTGATGATGATCCTCTGTACACAGTCAACCAAAGATTTGCTTATATGGACCCAAATGCACCAAAAAAGAAGAATATCCAAATGGGTAGCAAATATAAAAATAACAAGATGACTGTTAGATTAAGACCACGACAAGTTTTATGTTCAAAATGCAAAGGTATAATATATTAAAAATACTTTTTACCTCAATCATCCCATAAAAAGAATAATTGATTTCTAAGGAATGATTATTTTTCTGTAATGGAATATATATCCTATACAATATCAGAATTGAACAATTTACAATATGTACTCATCTAAAAGAGCAAAAGAGAACATGATATAAGTAAACATAACGAAGCAAGGATAGATTACAAAATGTTCTTGTGCTTTGAAGAGGGACTAGTTTTAGCTACCCCACATAGTCATACTGGTATGACTTGTAATTCCTCTTTATGCAGGCCTGATGCCATGCTTATACATTTTAAACATGGCTATCAAAGCTCAGCACAGCGGTGAGAGACTTTCTTTCCCAAGAATATAGACATACTTCTCTATATAAATCCATTTTATAATAGCTTTGTTCGCGGTAAGAATCCTGAACTGAATTATTACTAATAGTAATAAACTCGCAGGCGCAGTAGTTAAAAAGCATTCGCGGAATAAAAAGAAAAACTGAACTATTGGTTCTATTCTGCATTCGCGGTAAAATTATTATTGATTTTAAACTGCTTGTCTATACCTGAAACACCGAGATATAATAGGGATTGCGTGCGCAGTAAAAATTCAGAATTGATAATGATTCGTGCATGCGCTCAAAGTATGAATTAGTAATTCTAAATCAGTTCAGGATTGTTACCACGAACAAAGCTAATAGTGTACCTAACATATCCACCAATACTTTTTTACATATCGTCAACTATGACACACAACTCAAACTACAAAATTTCTTGTGCCTCTTTAAGCAGGCAATACATACAGGTAGATTTAGTGGCTTTTCCTATGTTCTTGGTCATATATTGTTTTTGCATTTTTTTTTCTTCATTCCAGTTTGGGTTCCTAGAGTAAATAATTTCGTTTTAGTACTGCATATATGCATAACAGTGATAACTTGAAAATTATTACAAAAAAAATCAAATAGTATTATGCCCTTTAGTCTGCATCGACTAATTAATTAGTAATATAATTAATATAAAATAAGTAATATAACTCAATTTTAATAAGTAAAAAAATATATACAGCATGAGTCAGGAGGAATGACACAAACTCCAGGAGTGTATTATACATGTGGAAATTATTTATTTATTTATTTATCAACGAGCAATTGCCCATTTAAAATTTAATAAGTTTAATAAAAGGGAAAATTTAAAACCTAACCTACACTTAGAGAATGTTGAAACAAAGAACCACACATTACCAAAAAATTAGCATAAACAAGAAAAAATTAAATATTAAAAAAAAACAAGATAACAATTATTGTAAATAAGTTAAATTAAATTATCTAGACTTCAAAACATCACATGCATGATTTAAGCTGGGATTTAAAGACTTTTTTATTATCAAAGCAGTCCAATCTATCAGAATATTGATTAGCAAATCTACCCGATCTTGATAGAAAAGAATTATGTCCATAGTTGGTCGGATGTTGTCTAATATTAAAGGGCTGAATAAGCCTTGTTTGTCTAGAAGGAACATGAATATTGATTTTTCCCAATAGCTCTGGACTAAAGCTATACGAGTGCAGTATATTGTAGAATATGGTAAGATCCTTGTGCATGCATCTGATCTGAAGAGTGGTAATATTAAGGGAACTCTCAATATTTGAGTAATTAATATCCTCGACTCCACGGTGGTCCTTAAATGAAATAAATCTTAAAAATGTATGCTGAACTCTTTCAATGGCTTGAATATGAACATTGTACAGGGGGGACCAGTCACACGAACAGTAATCTAAATGGGGCCTCACAAGTGAACAAAACAATATTTTAATGGATGATACGTCTAAAAAATCCTTAGCGCAACGTTTAATAAAGCCTAGCATTTGAAGTGATTTTGAGACTACCATTGATATATGGGGTACGTGAGATAAATTGGAATCGACGATTACACCTAAATCTTTAACTTGAGATACCGATTCCAAAGGGCAACCATTAATATTGTAGATTATTTGTTCTGTCGGACTTCTGTTGCCACTGAAGACCATTTGATGGCACTTTTTTTGTAAAATAACTCGTTTTAATGTTACAGCATAAGTAATATCATTTTATTTAGACAACCTAGTAGAACAATTTCAATGCAAATTATCTTGGAGGACAGTGAACAGTACCAATAGATAGCAGCAAGCTCCAGTGTGTCCAAATCAGTCTTTTATAATGTTGTCATCTTCTACCGAACCATTGAACGGTTGTCAAAACTTAATAAAGAACGCAATTTCTCTTTTTACTAATAGATAGATCCATAGTCGATTAAGTATGAACCAAATATTTGTTTTAAAAATTATATATACGAGTTTTATTATTTTTATCTTCACATTCAAAGTAAAATAAAAAATACATAATTATAGAGTCAACTTATGTTTAAAATAAAAATACCTAAGTATAACGTAAACGTACATGTAAAATGATAACATGTCAACTTTTCAAAACAGAATAAAATAGAAGAAAATACATCAAATGGTCAGCAAGTACTCATTCAGTTTTCTTTTAAATATTGCTGCGTTTAAAGAGCATTTAATATCTTCAGGCAAATTATTAAAAGCCTGTACTCCTTTGTTGGATTTCTTTGCTTTAGTTCGAAGGGCTGTATTAAAACACTTGTAACAACTGCATTTTTACCTTTATTGCTAGCTACAACAAATTCAAATAGAACGAATTTAAGATAGCTTTTTTAACCAGGGCCGAATGCCAACATGACATCTATCGATCTCAATCTCATCTGCACTTCGGAATCGTTCGTCTGCCGTCGCACTTCCCAAGTGCTTCCGGTAATTAAAGGTTAAAATTTTTTCGCTCGGAAAATATGACTTCACAACCTTTAAAAAAAACTGAATTTTGTGTACATTTTTTCATGGCCTTATAAACTCTTGCTTATTTCGTGTATTGTGTTCCTGAACATCGTGGTTAAAACTTAAAATATTTTGTAAATATACTGGAGAGATTCCTGATTTAATCTTAAAAATAAATAGCAGAAAATAGTACAGCAAATATTTTTAACAGTCATTCACTAAAGCATGTTTAACGTGGAATTGATTGGTTCCAATTTTAAACAGCTCAGTATTATCCTCAAACCACTATTCTGCTACTTTTGCAATCGTTACAACTCATTCTGGTTGAGCAAATACAATATAGTTGCACAATAATTACAATGAGGTAATATAAGAGTATTATAAATTATTATTTTTTCACTTAATAGAAATATTAATTTCTTTAAAATAAGTTTCAGTGTTTTTATGGTTAAAATATATTGGTGTATCCTCCGCGACTACACCAGGAATGTCCTTAATATAAATTAAAAATAGTAGCGGGCCCAGAACACTACCCTGTGGCACCCCCATGATGTACATTTATTTACAGTTTTTCATCATTTTAGATAATATAATATTAGAATTTTTTTTAAGAATGTGATTTTTTTTCATACACCGTTGTAAAGAGGCTTCCAGGACCTTACAAATGAAGTATCACTCAACCCCTCTTCCCTATTCAATTTTGTTACAAAAAGTTACAAAAAAAACCCACCAGGTATTGTGTGGTGCCGCCACAGAGTGCCCCCGCTAGCTTGATATAGCCAAAAAATTAATCTAAATAACATTATGAGTTAGCATTTATCAATTTCTTACGTTTTCAGGTATATAAATGATTGTAAATTCCATAAATATTGGTCGGATAACTTTTTTTTATGAGTCAGCGCTTTCTTTTCTCCCTACTTTTGGCGGTTTGTTCGAAAAAATTGAAAAAAAAAATATTTTTTTCATAAACTGTACTTTGATGACTCCTACTGGTGAATCAGTGCGAGTTACACAAAAAAAATTCTGAAGCAATTTTGAAGAGCATGAAATTCCCCACAGGGTCCATCACCGATTTGAATTATTGTAAAAGGTGGGTAAGCATTAGAAATTAAAAAAAAAAAATAATTTTTTTACATGCATTTTAAATGGTAAAACTTTAAATTTACATAGTAAGTACTTAAAATTGATATTAAGAGCTCAAACTTGGTGAGATTTTTTTTTATATATGTAGATTAATATTTTGCTTGAGCACCGAAAAGATAAAACTTTTCGGAAATGAATCACCCTAATGTCCACTTTTACTGGGTACACTTTAATTTTCACCCAGCCCCATAAATAATAATTTAGTGCAGTTTTATGTTATTTTCATGTGTATAATACATTCCTGGAGTTTGTGCTGTTCCTCCTGACCCCCCCTGTATGTTTGAACAGAATAAATTGACAAATGTGGTATCATTAAATTTGCATTAGAAAGAAAAATGTATCTGTATAAAAAATCTGCATGAACTAAAACCTAAAATATAATTTTTAGACCTAAACATTTTCAACAATGTACTGGTTTTTTCAGAAAATAATAAATTTGTCGGAAAAGTATAGTACTTCTAGTCAATATTTGGCAAAGAAAAATAGTCCCAAAAAAATTAACTGATGAGGGATAAGTACCCAATCAATAAACTGCACAGAGTTCAAGAGATGGACGATGTTTTACAACTCTTAAAAATAATTGTTTGTTTATACTATTTAAGCATTGGGGATAAATACATACCTAATATTTGCTAGATGTTTCTGGTATAGTTATGTATATTTAAAAAAATATGTTCCAATCAGAAAATTTAATTTTTACATTCATCATAACATTAAGAGGGAAAGCCCACTCACGCGACATGTCGCGCGCGACTGATCGCGCGCGGCAATACTTTTGATGTTTTTAAATGACCACGCGACAGAACCGCGTTAATGGGCTTTGAGTCATTTAAAAACATCAAAAGTATTGCCGCGCGCGACATGTCGCGTGAGTGGGCTTTCCCTCTAATTGAATGAAAATACATTAATATCTTTCATTTCAAAATTTTCATTGTGAAAAATGTGAAGGAACCGTTAGAAAAGAGGTACAGTTTTCAACAATACTCGTATCCCACATAGGGGTGCCAGATGTCCGGCTAATGCCAGACATG